CCATTGCACGCATGACAATAGTTAAATAAAAAGTAATACTTAATCATAAGTTTGACGTCATGGGATTCGTTTGTAATAATATCTAAATGTTTTCACACGTCCAATCGCGTTTACAAATAACAATGCGAACGTAAAATGAAATAGCAATAATTTTAAATGTACAGATTATTTTTTTAATGTAAAGTGTACAGACATTTTATTGTTTATAAAAAGCACTTTAAAACAATTACTAGTACTTAAAATTTGTCAAATTACACACTTACTTTTTTCGATAAAACAATCGATTAACGCAAATTTTGAAGGTATTTTGAAACCACTTATTATCTGGCACGGTTGGCGATATCCAATTTTATGTCAAATCAAAATCAATCATGATATTTTATTAGCGTAAAAAACATACGACGATTTGAAAAAAAACAAGAATCAAATAAACTTCCGAATGTCATCTTACTTCCTGACATCTGTCAAGGTTTGACGTCTCATTCATCATAATTAGTTCATCTGTTTACGAGATTTTGTGACTCAAACGCACATAAACTGTTTTAATCGCGATATTGCAAGAAACAGCATTATTATTTTTATCCCTTCAATAAAATATGATATCTTTGGCGAAATATTAACCGTCAAACGTCATACAGTAAATTCTGTGAAGAAATCAAATTTAAAGTCTCCTAGAAATAATAATTTGTTTATAAAACATTGGCACTCAAAATGATTTATAGTAATTTATTTAAAGACGCAGTTGCTGCGAGAAAGTTGGTGCTATCGAAAAGAATTATAATCCAAATTCGCCGTGGAAAATTACAGGTGAATTGAGTCGTAGTTTTTTTCCACCAGCACCCTCTGGTTCGCAATTTTTTCATATCCTCCTCACAATCAAATGCATGACCGACGCGCATGCACGTGTTAAGAAAATCTTAGAGGATGCTGTTAACAAGACACCATTGTCCACTTCCCGATTCATTGCTCTAATAGTTCAGTACCTAAATCCAATTATCCTTTTCAAAACGCCAGTGAACATGCTCCATCAGCTTCTCAAATGTCATTATGTAATCCAGCAATAAATAGCTTGACGTTCGAAAGCGCTTAAAAAAACGTCACCTGTCTATTTGAAGTCTGCGAATGACCTTCATTCATCGCAAACGCTTAACCGAGCTTTTTATTTTCGCTGTTTTTTTTTTGATAATTCCGCTGTTGACTTTATAGTTTATGCTTCCTGGCATGTCATTTTCCTGATGATAGAAATGATTAATGACCACTTCTAATTGTCGGGTGACCTGACTGATCAAATGCTTTTGTTTGTAAAAGAAAATACAAGCATTGTGCTTATTTCCACAAATCGAAATGACTAGTTCAAGATTTTGTTTTGCAATCGCATTCTTGGAAACACACATGGGTTAAATATAGCCTGCTGTACACTTAACGATTGTAGCTTGCAAGCAACGGGTAAAATAACTTAAACAGGTTTAGATTGTATCTTAGTGAGGGGTTTCCCCGACCTTGCACACTTATTTTTGATATATCGACCTTTGAGCACTAACAAACATCATAGTGTTTACAAAATTGCGGCAATAGCGTTTATTTACATCGAAACACATGTTTTTATAAAACACATAGTAAACTAAATGGTTTTAAAAGTAAATAGTAAAGAGGTCGCTGATGCAAGGTAATCGGAATAAAATTTTACAACTCGTTTCATAGAAAACAAGACGATAAGGAAAAACAAATATCAGTAGATGAAGCTGTCACAAATAGAAGGCATAATGATGAAAAATATATTTGATTGCTATCATAAAATATTGGCGGTCATACTAAAGAAAATAAATGTGAACATTTCACTTGACACAGATTTCGCACGTTTGTGCACATCCCCGGATGCAAAGGTCCGAAGTCTGGAGGATGACATTGAGAGATATTAAATATTCATAAGACTTCAAGGTTTCTATATGATAGCTTTAGAGCAAATTTCCGGTCTGTATGTTCGTTAAATTGTTACTTCAGATGCGACCGTTAGACGGTTTTGCCCAACGTTTTTTTTCTCAAAACATTATTACAACTGGTTTCCTCTCCATACTTTCTTTTATCATCAAGCACATTCATTGCGTCAATAACTCGCTTATTTGTTTAAAATCATCAATTTCAAGATATTAATTTTCAAACATAATCTTACGGGTTGAAAAATGGTCATGAATAATTTCTTTCTTCACCGGACCATTAAATTAAATTGGGCTTCACATCTTAAAGTGTAAGCATCAAATAATAAAACATTACATTGAGTAAGTACGTATGATACGTAATAATTGGCCTCGACACAATAAAGTGTTGCCTTTTGTGTTCAAAATAGCAAAACGGTTTCACCTCAGCTATGGCCACAAGCCATCGAGAACACCTTCGCGTCCCACATAACATCCATCAGATTACAATCTCTATGGAAATGTTTATGACTTGTTGAACTACCTTAATATACTTTGTATCTGTGTGGTTTTCACCTTATCCTCTCCTCCATGCATTGATTTGATTTTAAAGTTGAAAATCAATTCTACTTTTATTTGAATCATTAATCAACCAATCCAAACAACGGCTCTAAACATAGACCAGTCAACATCGGTTGATAAATTGCCCTTGATTTCAAAACCAATACCTTTGTTTAGGTATTCTAGAAGAAGTGTTTATACTTCACATTAAACCAGGTATCCCTTAATCCTTGGTTATACAATCAGACCTTAATTGATGTATGCATTTGCAATCTTGTATCCGCCTCGAAGAGAAAAATTGCATGAATAATTGAGTCTTTTAAATTGATTTGATTTTCAAATGTCAATTTTCTTGCATTCGAAGGCCGCTGAAGAGACAATGTCATGCTGTATATAATCTGCAAGGGCAGTGTTTAACATTTATGTAGATAGAGGAACAATCTGGACGATCGATAAATAAAGATGGAATCATACAAGGTTACTGGGATAGGGTTGGTAGATAAAAAGGCTAAAGAAAAACTATATTCCAGGAAACATACATTACAGCAAAACATGAATTGTAGATTCCAGCTTTTTATAGCAACGCGAAATTTCCATAGTATAATTCCATATTTCGTTTTATGAATGGAAAACTTTAGACTGCTATCAAAAAGTGGCTACCTCTACATCTGGAAATTCCAACGCTAGGTATTCTATTCTGTACGGTGATGCAAGATTAATTCCAAGATCGAAGACTTTTTGCTTCTTTAAATGTGATATGTTTCAAAACTTGTATTTTATTGTAAACACAAATGAATACGTTATAGAGCAAGTCGCAGGTGAATCAGAGCGCGACTGGTTTGATAGTGTAGATACTAACGATGCTAAATCGAATAATAATGAATGTGATACCGAATACGATTTTATATCGATTAGTTTTACCGCTAACACTAGGATATCAGCCATTTTGTTTGTCATCGCTATATTACAAATAGTAAACAAAATTGTAATTGTTCAGGGAATGAAAAATATGGACGACCCGCTAAAGTATCGGTGTTTCCAACTTTATATCGATCTTGATGAAAAATTCTTATGATACATCAATATCAATAACCAGTTTAATATAAAAAAATAATTCTGTTTCTCTTTAATATTACTCACACGTGGATTCCAAAATAGTTCTACTTCCCGAATGTTTTCATGCGACTAACTGTTTATTAGATCTTAGTCAAACTTTCCATGTTTTTGTTTGTTATTATTAATGCAACCTTCCCTTGAAGATCGTTGAAATATGGAGTGATATAGAGCTGATATTCCACCTTCAAAATTTTCTTCATTGTCTATTTTTATATCCTTTAGTTTACAAAGAACGTCTTCAGTTTTTATTTCTTTTACACGTTTCATAGGTAGCCCTATGGCTAAACAACATTTTTCTCCTTCAATATTCAACTCTTTTCAATTTTATTTCTCTATCAATATTAAAACTGTTTGTTTATTCTCTTCAACGAAATAAATTGGGCAAATAAACTATAGCCAAACATGAATTTACATAGTAAATCATGTAAATACTAGTATATTAATGTTCTCAGACATTCAGTCTCGGATCATTATTTCATTAGAAACTTTTTCCTGCAGACATTATTACGGATCTACTAAGTAATTCAATTAATCAAGTTGTATATAAATCTCTAAAAACTTGTGTGTGTCGTCTAGACAGAACTATGAAATCAGTGATATAACATATTCCTAACTGTTTTTCCTTGTTAACAAATTGTTCACTAATGAAATACAGAATTCATACAAATTAATTATGTAAATGTTACACGAAGCAATATCCAAACGAAATGTACTCGAGGATAATTTAATCGTTAAATTGTTAATACAACAACGATATACTGCATATATTTTGAAATTTTAAATTGCTTACTTGAAGCTATTAATTGTGACACTCGAGTTATAGGACTAACAATAGTAATTAAAGGGGGTCTTATCAAATAATTCGTGAACATTGTAAGTCGGTCGTGTTGCGCATTCGTTGCGGTGGCCAGTTTACGAAAGTCCTCTTGCACTCTCAAAATGTTCAACATAATCTAACAACACATCTATTTCTTGCGACAGTTCAAATCACAAGGATTAATGGAGAATTACGTAAGGCCAGGGGCTCACTGCTTGTTGCGTGTTAATCAATATCATTCCACAAAATCGCTTTGTTCGACCGCTTCCTTGTCGCCAACTACATGTTCATGAACATTCCATACTGAGTTCATGGGTTACTATTTTTGTTAACAATGTCGAATGACGTGCAGACCTAATGTTTACAAACACTGCCACCGACATAATCAGTTCCCAATGTTATCGTTTGATCGCGATCGTCAAATTAATTGCCGTGCTATCGAATCTGTAAAATGTACGAAACATGGCCTTTCTAACGAAACCTTGGTGTGCCAACACTGTTCAAACACTAGGGGCCGCGTAAACATGACCCCCACGTACATTATGTGGATGTTACTCTACAGTAGCTAACGTATGTCTTTGTTATTGTTACAGGTTCGTCATCAATCTACTTGCGACGAATCTTTTGACGACCTCACTGCTGGCGCCCGCGCTGTTTGGCGAGCACTCTGCGCAGGAGGACATCCAGTCGTGGGTGGAGGCGGGAGACGCGGCGGCGGCCGCATGCAGCCTCTCCTCACTGCTGTCCATCATGCTGATAGCACTGGACCAGCACCACGCCGTCACCGACCCGCTGCGCTGCCACACCCGGCTGCTGCAGCGCCGGCCGGCCGCGCTATGCGCTGGGACCTGGCTCGCAGCCGCTTGCGCAGCTGCTATCCGCGCAGCCATCGCCGTGGTGCGCCACTTGTGCCCGCTCGAGCCCGTTGTGCAGGGAGTCGAGCTGGCCTACTACGTCGTGTACTTAATACTAGGAGTAATTACACCAATCGCCATCGTGTGCTTCATGTATGCGAGAATATACCGCGCGGCGCGCTCATCTGGCCTCCGTGCGCGAGCACATGGTGCCAGCGCGCTGCAACTACACGAACCTCCCACGATCCTACCCGATCTTGCTGAGGAGGGAGAGGGACTGACCCTCAAAATTGACGGGCCTGAGTGCTCCGTAACCGTAGAAAGCGAGAGGAAATTCGGGCCATTCCTATTACCACCCGAACGACCAGTGCGATGCCCATCCGTTGCCAGTCTACGCAATTCCCGTAAGGAAGGAAAGTCTAACGAGGATCTGAGGAAGGGGCTGCCAGCTGTCAGCTCAGCACCTTCACTAGCGGCTCCATTGTTAGCCGTACAACAGCGCACGCCGCAGCCTAGTCATAGTGGGTCCAGAATCACATCAATTAGGTGTCGCATATCAAACGCGTCACTGTTTAGATATAGAGAAGAATCTCGGGCGGCCCGTGTTGGGCTGCTGACGGGTGCCCTGGTGATGCTGCACGTGCCGCACGCAGTGGCCGCCGTGATGTCGGCAGTGATGCCAGGATTGGCGGACTGCGCGCGCACTCCTTCGCTGGCGCTGTTATTACTAGCGTCAGCGTTGTCACCGTTCCTATTCGCGCTGCGCTCACGGCGCGTACAAAGAGAAGCGCGCAGATTACTTCTGCCGGAAAAAAGTGCTTGGGAAAGAGCGTCAGGGGTCGCGTCTGCGGCGGCGGTGGACGGGCAGCGCGCACGGGCTGCTCTCGAGCTGCTGCGCACACTGTCCCCGGGCAGCAGCGCGCCCGAGTCGGGCACCAGCAGCAGTGGGGAGGCGTGCCGCGGCTCGTTCAGCTCGGGCGGCAGCACGCAGCTGTCGTCCGCGTCGGACGAGTGACCGGCACTCCGCGCGCCCGCGCTGCTCCCGTCGCGGGTGCGCTTCGCTCCGCGTCCCACCGCTCTACTCATCTGTGATACTAGGCTAAGCCGCAACGCGCTCGGCGCGACCGTTAGACTGATTTAGTATTAAGTTAATTTATTGTGTCCACGTACCTTTCCGCTGAGCGGAGCCAATTTTTATTACCTGATAAAATATAAGAAAATAAAATAAAATCATATTGAATTTAACATTGTCGTTTTGATTGTCTTGACCCCGATTGTGCTGGCGGTGGTAAACCGCAACAATGAGTTTATAATTTTACACACGAATGGAATAGTAATATGAAGCAGACGAGACAGTGACTCACTGAATTACACATTCTAAAAATATACTGTAGTAACTTAAATGAGGATAAAAACATTTCGCAGATACTAAAAATAAGTAGTCAAATATTGAAATGAAAACAATTAAATATTTACTGAAACAACATTCCATACAACGTAAAACAAGTAGAACAATATCACGACACATCACACACAAAGTAACATAACAACACTCGTAAGAGAACATCTGCTGCTGCTGCTGCTGATGGTAATTCTACCTCCTGTCTCCTTCTGGGTTCCTGGTAACTTCAAGCCGTCTGAAATATAAAGGATTTGTATATATTTGATGTTGGAGTAAGTATAAAAATGCAAATAACAAAATTGAAAATTTCTGGATAACGATAGCAAAACTTCCAATCATGACTGCTAAACTTGATTTGCTGGGTTCAAATCCCAACTTATTCCTACTAAGAACTAAATATGAATGCTAACCACAAAAGACTGATAAAGAAAATAAATAATAAACGCATAATTATAATGCTACATTGCATAGAAACATTACGACTGAACCAATGAATAAATCATCGATCTCGCATACATATTATATGCATATCAATCACGCTCGTTATTGGACAAAGGGTAAGCTGTTATTATTTCCACTGAAAAATAAGGATAGAATAATTCTCAAAGAACCTTGAAGATACCTATTTAGATTTATAAAAGTAAATGATCGATTATAATTTATCTTACATTTACTGTCTCGTTATTCCGGTTCGAATCGCGGAACGGGCAGTGTTATTGGAAATTATTAGATTTTTTGAAAAAAAAATACATTGTCTAGTATTCTATCTTAGTGCTATCTTACTGGGCACCTGGGTACTTTATGCTATATGACTTGGTACATAGGTAAATGGCAATAGACTGACTGTTAATTTCATTAGACCCATAAACATCACAGCTCGCATAGAAATAAATAAACAGACAGACTTAGTACTCAGTATTCATACTAAGTATGTCTACTCTACCTAAGAAACAGTAATCTTTATCCTTACCGATAATAATACTATCATAAAATCACGCCTATTATCCCCGAAGGGGTAGGCAGAGGTGCATATTAGGGAACTTAGCGCTACTGTACCATGTAACACTCACTTTTTACTATTTATGCTATGAGTCCCATATAATAGGGGGTGAGCCTATTGCCATATACCGGCACAATAACAGACGCCGTGCTACCACTGGACATTTTTTGTGGTCGCATGTGCGACTGCTAGTTAAGTGGTCTCGGGTTCGATTCCCGGGTCGGGTAAAGCATTACTCGTTTTTTTTTGTGGGGGACTTAGAAACATGGGGACATGGGACTTAGAAATTGTGAAAAGTGGATGTTACATTGTACAATGGCATTAATTGACGTTATGTGCACATTTTGCTTATCCCTTCGGGGATAAAAGGCGTGATGTTGTGTTCTATGTTTATATATGAAACTATAGATAATATCTACTCATTACACGAGCGAAGCTGCCGGTATCAACTAGTTCCACACAACTATGTTACCGAACTACATTTTGCAAAGAGCAGCTTACAATGCATTAAAAGATTTCGCTATCAGATAGATAAGGCACCCACTACACTGATAACGTGATTTGATGATGATCTTACTGTATACGTGGCGTATCATTGCGTGTAACATTCATCGTCATCAGATCATCACGCCTGTTTACGATATAAGGGTTAAACAGAGGTGTATCGGGCAAAGACTTTTAAGTAGATTTATTATTGTTATTTTCATTTGTGGGTGTGTCTATATTCTATTGTCATAGTGTATTATTTAGATTCGCCATTTTGTAAGTGACTTGAAGAGAATGGTTTCATTAGAGGAATATAGGGAACAGATTTTGATATTTCTACGAAAATACTGATAAATAAAACAATGGTGTCTATTACATGTGTAGTAAACCTATTATACTGTTTTTTACTTTTCTTCTTCTCCTCTTATAATATCTTCTGATTCACTTCGTTGCGGGAACCAAGACAGTTACTCATGTCCCTGGGACGCGCCGCACTTCAGTGTTCCGATGTTTTCATGGTTGTATCTAAAGATCCTGGCTTACAGGAGTTGCAGCGGTTTTGGGAGGTTGTGGCGGGCTTGTCCCATAAAACATATACTGTTTTTTACGTCGAGCCCGCTTCACACCTTCAGCGATTAAACCAATCAGAAAAGCATGGAGACAATTAAACTAACAGAATAAAATTGTAATTATTTTTGGTTAGGTGATGAGTCCAGGATATAACGCTCGTTTTCTATGAGGCCCTGGTATCACCTTAGTCTAGTCGGCATATTCTGAAACAGCCGAAACATCATATGTTATTCATCTCAATTACTTGGCTGCCTCGTCAGCCGAGTGGTTGCAAGTGCGACTGCCGAGCAAGTGGTCTCGGGTTCGATTCCCGGGTCGGGCAAGGTATTACTGGGTTTTAAAAAAAAATCTCAGTAGTAGTAGCACGGAGTCTGGAAATGTGCCCGGTATATGGCAATAGGCTCACCCCCTATTACATGGGACTCATAACATAAATAGTGAAAACTGGGTATTATTTCTGTGTGCATCTCTGCCTACCCTATCGGGGATAAAAGGCGTGATTTTATGTTATGGTATGTCTAAAACAGCCGAAACATGACTCTTCTATATTATTCATCTCTATTACTGACACTACTACGACGAGGCACGTCAGCCGAGTGGTCCAGCCGACTACCGGGCAAGTGGTCTCGGGTTCGTTTTCCGGGTAAGCCAAAATATTACTGAGTTTTTTAAATCTCAGTAGTAGCACGGAGTCTGGAAATGTGCCCGGTATATGGCAATAGGCTCACCCCCTATTACATGGGACTCATAACATAACTTAGTGAAAAGTGGGTGGGTTACATTGTACAGTGGCATTAAGTGCCGTAATGTGCACCTCTGACGACCAGTTCGAGGATAAAAGGCGTGATGTTATGTTAAGTGTCATCTTAATTATTCTTAGCACCAAAACTGCATATGCTATTTGCTGCCCTTATCCTAATTGAAGCGTTTTTAACTGAATTCTTATATAACCAAGTCATAAGACCATATCAAGTTCAACCACTTATAGACTTCCATAACTACCTAGAACATCTAGTTTTATTAGTTAGGGCACGTGGTTTTCATGACTTTAAGTATTTGGTTTTGCGGTTTTTCTGGTCCAGTGGCTTCGAGCGTGACTGCTAGGCATGTGACTGTCGAGTCATTTATGAAGAGCTGTATTATAGCAGGGTAGAATATATTTCACCAACCTGATTTTTCCCGCGGGTATTGCAAAGCCGCCTTACGGTCGAAATGAATATTTGATCTAATTCAGTGTCAAATAGTTTCTGAACCTCTATACCAACGAGGCATTCATTTTAATCCTCTTACTTATAATAAAAACGATTACAGTAATACTAGAGTGCATTGTTATGTTGCACTTTTGTTTTTTATATCAGGCCAGCAACATGTGTCAGTAGTTCAGTCACACGTGTCTTGGTACCTAGTTTAATACCTCCTCATTTATATGGGCGCCTAGTACCTAAATGAATGTGATGGTAAAAAAGGTGTGGGACAGTCATTGTCCGTATTTTTTCGTCTTGTGAGTGAGGTTATCGGAGGCCCAATCAACCCCTTCCCCAAATGTCCCCAATCCCTGAATCTCTAACAATCTTCAAATTTCTAATCCCCAGAAGGCCGGTAACGCACTTGTTACGCCTCTGGTGTTCCGGGTGTCCATAGGCGACACCGATTGCTCTCCATCAGGTGATCCTTCTGCTCGTTTACCAACTTATTCTAAGAGAAAATCACGTTTTTATTGATTATTCTGTATATAGATATCATTATATAGTATTGTATTACTACGATTAGAATAGAATAAATTTTTTCATCAACTCTTTACTTTCTGCGGGTGCCATAATAGACGATGATGGGTGAATTGACTATGACCGCAGCAGGTCCCTCCAATAATATACCTGATATGGTACAAGAATTTAACGTCGGGTTTAATTAAAAGAAATAATTTTAAAATGATTGATCATTAGGTTTTGCGCTTAGTGGTGATGTGTGAGGTGAGGACGCACGTGGCTTGTGTGGGTACATAGTTAGTTTTTATGTTTAATAACTCTTCTATTGTTTGAGCTCCTGGTACCTATTTATCTATGTGAAGAGATTGCCGTAGTTATAATGTTTCAGTAATCTATAGATTATATCTGTGGGTAATTTTCTTCAAGATGGTCTTTTCGAATAGATGACCCCAATTCCAGTATCGAGTTAAGCAAAAATATTAGGATTGTCTAAAATTAGTCTGAATTACGTCTAGTTCTTAACAACAGAGTCAGTACTTATATAGCATTGGTCTGGAGGAAACATCTATCATTATGGACGGTAGTTATTTTAATACAGTCAAACTGTATCGTGCCGAGCCCTCTTTTGGCAGTAAAAAAAGAATAAGTACAATCATGTCATTAGATAACATCCATTATTCTTATAAGGTCAAGACACAATTTTGCTCGCGATATCAGCTAGCACAGACTATACCACTTTCGATTCGCGTGTATTATGTAAACGTAAGAAACGGTTGGATTACAAACTTTAGAACAATGAGCATTGTCTGTGTGTAGAGGTGGCGTCGCGGTAATGACTGGGTGTTAGATGTCTTTGGAGAAAATCGTGCTAAAGGCAAACGAACTTAAGAAAAATACATATTTTTAAAATATATATTTATGTATGTTACGTTTAGGTGCTCCGTGTTTTTCCGCATTATTGTCACTGTGGAGAAAGAGTCGATGGCTTGGGATACCATGGTCTTTCTTGTTGCAGAAGTGCAGGCCGCATAGCTCGCCATGCCAGCATCAACGACATCATTC